CAGTTATCGAGATATTTGACCCGAAACAGAAGTTTGCATAGTAATTTTTCATCTTCCTCGATAGTAGAAAATTATAAAAAAAATGTTTGTCTCTTTATGCGTGGAATAACTATTTCTGTTCAGCTATCTGAATAGTATCTAATCTACTCAACACTAGAAAAATCGAGAAAAATATTTTCTACTACTGAAAATGATGAAATATTTCTATGCAATCTTCTACTTTGGGTCGAATATCTCGAAAACTGTTCAATTCAGCTCAGTTAAAGGTGATGAATTTTTTGAACAAAATTGAACAATGAAATCGAGGAATTGGAAATAATTGAAATTTAATCAGTGGCGTAGCAAATATGTGAGGAAAAGTTTTCACAACCCCCTGTAGGGCACCACTGGATAAAATGTCCGGAATGGCTTACTGGTCAAAAAATTACCCATTCAAAGATGAAACCATATACCGAAGTTGAATGCATTATATTCAATTTTTCTAGAGATATTGCGAAACAACTATTTTTATTTCTCAACTTTAACGCCTTGTATATCGAGAACTGAACACTTGAAGATCGTATGTCCCTATGTCAGTGATTATGAAATCACGACGGCTATCACCTGTCAAGCGTTGTCGGTCGAATTTCGCAACACCCTGTGGCCTGTATATGAAATGCTCCTCCGAAACGGATCGACCGATTCGTATGAAAATTTTTGTGTATATTCGGTAGGTATGAGAATGGGTCGTAAGCTATTTTTTAAATTAAAAATTCAAGATGGCAGATTGAATATGGCGGACGAATTTTGTAATCCGATTTTATTCAAAATTGGAATCTGGGAGTTGTTCGGAGTCGGAGATAATAATTCTTTCATGAAAATTTTGGAATTCAAGATAGCGGGATCCAATATGGCGGACGAGTTTTGTAATTATGGTCCGAGTCGGAGATTGATTCTTTCGTGAAAATTTGTAAATTCAAGATGGCGGAAGAATTTTGTAATTATGACCATATTTCATTCGAAATTTGTGAATGGAGGTTTTTGGGATCGGAGATAATGATTCTTTCGTCGAAATTAAGAAATTCAAGATGGCGGGACCAATGTGGCGGACGAGTTCAGTAATTATGATCCGATACCATCCATTCAGGGTCGGAGAATATGATTTTATGACTGTTGAATATAAGTTCTTGATTCGATTTAGGATAATATAAGAGAATCAAAGACATTTTTTCAGTTCTTTTTTAAATTTCTCAACACTCAATTTTTTCTTCAGACTGGCAGGTAATTCATTGTAGAGGATTATTCCATTGTATAAAATAGATCTTTTACCCATATCTGATTTAATTCTGATGGGAGTTAACATATCTTTTTGTCTGGTTATGTATTCCTGTTTATGATTATTGACTTCAAAATTCAGATTTGAATGTTTATAATTATATTTGACAGAATGGATGAAATTTAATATTTTGAATTTGTAAATGGAGTCAATATCTAACAATTGCCTAGGTTTATAAAGATTTCTTGTTCGTTCCAAGTAATCTAGTTTGTATATACATTCAATAACTTTCTTTTGAAGGATTTTGATTGGCTTTATAATTGATTACCTAGCTGTACCCCAAACTGAAATCACGTTGTAATTTTGAATAAACCAAGGAAAACTATACAGGGTGTCCGCTAAAAGGAAGTCAATTAATTAACCATATATTCCTTGAACAAAAACAATATGAGTTTCTAGATACCATTTTTCATTTCAGCCCTTCATATTCGATATACAAGGTGTCAAAGTTGGAAATTAAAAACTGTTTATTCATAATTACTCGCGTATTTGATAAGATATTAATCCCAAAATTGGTACATTACTTCAGCACAAAGAGTTACTTCGTGTGAAGAAAACAAAACAGGAAATAACTGTCAAATATTCATAATACAGGGGGTCAAGTACACACTTACCCCCATATTTGAACGTGCGCTAATGACTTCAAATCTATTTTTCTTCAAGTGTTCAATCATTTTTGTGTATTTTTTGTCACTTGTTAAATTTCGATATTATTATTTATTTTCAAGATAATTCGAAAAGTACTGGTTATTGTTTGATGCCTATGCGGCTTATGCAAATCTCATAATGTTCACATACTCCTATTTATTTCGTCGAAATTGGAAGAGGGCGTAACTTTTTACGTACGAGAAGTTAAATATGTAAATACCGGGTGCTCAGAGCGAATGTTTTGGAATAATTTTTACAAAAAAAAATTTATAGAAATTCAACACGTCTAAATAAATTGCTGGATATGACCTCCAATTTTTTGAAAACACATGCGAGCCCTTTTAATTAAAGAAAATCCTAGCCTTTGAAAAATATGTGCATTCAACATGAAGTGCTCCCCAGCAGTGCTCCCCAGCAGCAGAGTCTGTCTCTTAAATGATTCTCGCTCATAATCGGAACCTTATACACAAAATCTTTCATACATCCCCAGACTGAAAAGTCCAAGGTTGTGAGATCAGGAGAACAGGGTGGCCATTTAACAGGAGCATCCTGACCCCGACCAATCCAGCGATTAGGAAAGATTTCATTCAAATAATTTCGAACATTTACAGCAAGATGCTGAGTTGCACCGTCTAATTGAAACCACATATTTTTTTTCCATCTTTTTTACAAGAGACGAAAAATTCTCAAAAATGATTGAACACCTGAAGAAAAATAGATTTGAAGTAATTAGCGCACGTACAAAAAAAAATGGGGGTTAGTGTGTACTTGACCCCCAGTATTTTGAATATTTGACAGTTATTTTCTGTTTTGTTTTCCTCACATGATGTAACTCTTTGTGCTGAAGTGATGTACCAATTTTGAGATTAATATCTTATTGAATACGCCAGTAATTATAAAAAAAAAACAGTTCTTGATTTCCAACTTTGACACTCTGTATATTGAATATGAAGGGTTAAAATGAAAAATGGTATCCAGAAACTCATATTGTTTTTGTTAGAGGAATATATGGTTGATGGTTTGACCTCCTTTTATCGGACACATTTCAAGTATTTTAAGGTGATTTGGTGTCTGATCCTATAGAGTACTCCAATTACCAGAGATATTTTCTCTATGATTGATTCAATATGTTTTGACAATGACAAATGTTCATCAAGGAATATCCCAAGAAATTTGATGACTGTAGAATATTTGATGATTTCATTATTAAATTTCAGTTCACTTGAGAGGCATAGTTTAGATATACATTAATGCTGATTTGCTGTAATTTATACTCAATTTATTCTTATAGGAGAACCATGGAGATAAAACAATCAAGTCACTTTCAATTGCATTTCTGATTTGTTGGATTGAGTCTGCCGAATAAATCAATGTAGTGTCATCAATAGAGACTTGAAATTACAAAATTATGGAATGAGCAAACTTCATCAAAATTTTCTGTCATCTTGCTGGTAAATATAAATAACCTTTTGAGTATTACAAGAATATTAAAGTGTGTTTCCTGGTTTTAGCGTTTTAGCCTAGATCTAAAGGAGTCAAATATCTACAGGGTGATTCAAAGGTAAGCAGCATCCTCCCAGGGGTGTCATCCCAAAAATAAGTCAACAAAGTTCCTATCAATATAGGACCAAAAAATATTTCTAAGAGAGCTATGCCTCTTTGAATAGATCACCTTGAAGATTGTTTTTTAATAACTTTAATTGTGATAATTGAATTTTGGAAACTGGTGTATCCATAAACAATTGATGGTCATAAAGTTTCTGAATTAAAATTTTAAAATTTTATCCAGTGACGTCACGTGCGGGGGAGGATAGGGGCAAAAACCTTATTTTTTTCTATAAATTTTCAGGTTGATGTGATTTGGTTAGAAAATTGTAATATTTCATGTAAAAAAGTTACTCTTAGTTCAATTTGATAGATACAGTTAACAAGAAAATTTACTATTTAAACTTTCTGATTTAAATAATGAAAATTGAGTGTTATTGATATTATTAGGTACATTATGGTGTATAACTAAAAGTATCCAAGTATCTATAGTTTCGTTAAATGAGGTTGATTAATAATCAGCACACACAGATTTTAAAATCCATTGTGCTGATAAAATTTAGTATAATTAGGTAATAACACAAACTATGATAATGAATATGAGAAATGTTAACTATGTACCTAAGATACTGAATAAATAAATAAATAAATAAATAAATAACAGAAAAAAATAACAGAATTATTCTGCATTTGGATAAGAAAAAACAACCATTTTTTTACTGAAATATTATCTGAAAATGTTTGGATTCAAAATCTAATTAACCATCAAATGTTTATACCATACTTGATACCATACATCAATTTTCAAAATTTAGTTGTAATGGTTTGATTGATTGATTGTCTCAAGAAACATTTCTGTTTATAATAGGGATACATGAATACATATAAAAAAAGGAATTATAATGAAATATACTACATTTTCTGATTGAACTGTAAGTAAAGGCAAACTTGAGTTTTGAAGTTATGGAGAAAACATCTCTTTAAGGGGTCCTATTCAAATGGGCATAGCTCCCTTAGCCAATATTTTCAGACCCATATTAATAGTACATTTTTGCTTTATTTTTATGCAAGGATTATAACCCCAAAAGAATGCAACTTACTTTCATTATAATTAATGATAAGTACATTATTCCAGAGGCTGTTCAAGAACACAGAAGAGAATTATCTGAATACTTGGACTGGTTTCGCTATAATTACTATGAAACCAGGAAAATAACTCTTATTGATATGAATGGTTAGGGAACAATCAAACTTTGAAATTGGTGAAGCCATTATTAGTGGCAGGTTTCTCATCACTGGAGTGTAGGTAACTAATTAAAAAAACCTGTAGATTAGAATGAAACTGAATATGAATGGATGTATGTCATAAATAGGTAATAAAAAATCCTTAGGACTAAAGTTAAAGATAACAACAAGATTCATTCAAATGACTGATTGAACTACAAAAATAATATGAAGACCTAACAAAATTCATGGAAAGATTGCACATTACCTTTCCCTTCCCTGAAATCCTTGACCTTATGCTGATAATAGCCATGATATGGATCTCCAGTGTTCAAGAAGTTGAATTTAGGGTTCCCAAGTTCATTTTGTCTGATGCGAGCCTCGAATTCGGGGCCATTTCTCGCTACAAAACTGGCAGTTTTGTCAACAATGTCTTAAGATATGTTTTCAGGAAAATATAATTCCAATATATTTTCTGATTGAACTGTAAGTAAAGGTAAGCCTGAAAATGCAGTAAACCACATTTCAAAAAGGATACTCCTCACCTCGGGTGGCGGATAGATAATACCCACCACAGGGTTGATGGGACCTGGTTCTTCATTATTGGTATTTGCAGTCACCTCCAGAGGCGGCATTTTCAACTGCGGAATACTCAATAACAGAGCAACTTATCTGTAATGAAGATTTAATTAATTAATCTGGAATGAAATGAGGTATCTAAAACAAACGAGGGTTCTCTATAAAAGGTTCGTATAGATCGTAGACGAAATGGTGAAATAGACTCAATAGACCACCATTTAAAATTGAGTGTTTTTCTGGTTGACGTTGACGGTTGATGTTGACTGACTAGTGACTACTGACAACTGACAGTACTGACTGGACACCAGACCGCTCTCTCGCCAGTTATGCAACTAGCATGCTGCTGTGCTGCGGACGCCTTTCAGGACAAAGGCCCGTATTTATAGTCGCTCCTTAAGGCGACCTCGTCCCTCAAGGATTCCTTGAGGACGAGTTTCTGTTTTATAGTCATCATATGAGTTGGAAGGAAGCCTCAAGTACCTTTCAATGTCGAGGTAGGTAGAAGGGTACCTTGAGCAATCCTTGAGCACTCCTCAAGTCAGTTTTCGGTGAGATTTCAGGTCTCTCACAGGTGTTTTGTTTGAATATTTTGAGTTTTGTCTTTGGTTGTTGACAAGTTCTAGGTTACATTTCATTATTTTGCAAGAAAATATGGATTTGGATGATTTTCTTGATTTCATTGAAAGAGTAGAAGAGAACGAAGTGATCAACAGAATCCCTAAACGTTACATCAGAGATGTTGAAGACCCATTCACATTCTATAGGGATGTAGAATTCAGAAGGAGATATCGTTTTCCCAAAGTGATAGTTAGGGATACTATCTTACCACTTGTGACCCATTCCCTGATGAAGAACAACAATAGAGGATTGCCAATAGCACCAGTCATTCAACTTCTGGCTAGCTTGAGATATTATGCTACAGGTCATTTTCAGGTATGGTTTATTACCCAGGTTTACCAAAGGTTTATTAATTTGAATTTATCCTTCAATGATTTCAAATTGTTCCTATGTATGCTACAGATTGATGGGGGTGATTTAAGAGGAATATCACAGGCATCAATGTCATTTATAATCAAAAGGGTGTCCATAGCTTTGGCAGAACATTTGAACAATTTCATACATTTTCCTGATGCTGATGGCCAACAAGAAAATATAAGGAAATTTCACACAATAGCCGGATTTCCAAATGTTGCAGCTTGTGTTGATGGAACCCATATCTCAATTTTGAATCCTGGTGGAGATATTGGAGAAATTTTCCGTAACAGGAAAGGACAATTTTCACTGAATGTCCAGGTCCCTATTATAAATGGTTCACCTTATATTTTGTGCTATTAGCTAATACCTACTCCTCTTGCTCTCAGGTTGCATGTGGTCCAAATATGGAAATTTTAGATATTGTTGTCAGACATCCAGGATCAACCCATGATAACACAATATTTGCCCAAAGTGCTCTACGAATTTTGTTTGAAGAGAATCAGCTAGATGGTAATATCCATTGGGCATCTTCAATTATCTGATTTGATTTTTCCATTTTCTGAACTATTAATGGCAGCAATGAGGAAAGAGAAGTATCTAATATATATTATATTTATTTAAATCTCAGGTATTATACTGGGTGATAATGGATATGGGTGCAAGAGGTACTTGTTGACTCCTGTTTTGAATCCAAGCAATGTCACTGAAAGGAATTACAATAGAGCACATCGGAGTACAAGAAATATTGTAGAGAGAGTGTTTGGCATTTGGAAGCGAAGATTCCCATGCTTGAAAAGAACACTCAACACAAAATTAGAGACATCTGCCACTATAATTTGTGCAACAGCAGTATTGCATAATATTGGAAGGCAGATGAATGATATTTTTGAAGATGAAGAAGCAGAAGATGTGGTCAATATTGCAGAAAATATTATATTTGAAAATATTGATAATAATGTAGAAGGATTAGCATTCCGAAGGGCATTTATACAAATACATTTTTGATATTAATTGATTTTATGGGTATGTTGAGACAAACATGTGTACTAATATTGTTTTTCATTCAGGTATGTGAATAACCACCTAGGTGACCACCAGTGCACCATTCCATCAGGATTTCGTAATCTTGGAGTATCTATATGAATGTTTTCAAGAAGGTAACAGATTCTACTTACTGCTTGATGTTGCATTATTACCTCTTCCGATTAGGTATTGGTTTTGATTTTTTACCTCAAATTCAACTGTTGTTGTTATCCTTCAAGTCTTTTTATAGAGAAGTGAATGCAAAAGTATATAATAGACCTATATAATATTAGATTTTATGCCAAAAGTCAAAGGACATCCTATATTATTATTTTCATATTTATTGTCCCATGTGGCAATGAAAGATTTTATTACTAGTGACATATTCTTCTTGTTTAGAATCAAAATTGATGAAATACATATAGTTTTTCTATTAATGCTCGAAAATAAGGTTTCAAAACTCTTTTCCTGAATTTTTATTATTGAAGGTAAATCGACAAAAAATCTGAAACATGACAAATTCGCAAATTTACAGTACCTATATATTCCTGGGAGTAGGTATTTATAATTTGGTACCTCTACTTTGAAATAATGAACAGTTCCATTCAAAATATAGATATATGTGTTGATCTATACTATATATATATATATATATATATATATATTATTTAATTAAATACATTCTCCTTTTCCAACAATTGAGTTTTTCTTAACCATGCAATACATTTTTTCTATTTCTACAACCTCAAGTTTCACTTTATACAGTTGTCTGCTGTTGAATTGCATTTTCCAATTTTAAAAGCTTCAATTGATACAGAGGGTGATCAGAATTCTGAATCTTTGAACCACCCTCTATCTCTTTATTTGTTCCAATTAAATGTCAGTAGATAGATAATCATAAAAGTTAAGAAAGGGACATATGTGAGCCGTTTTGTGGCCAATAATGAATAGTTCGGACACAAAAAATCCTAAAGTTGAAAAATCTCGATTTTGAACACCCTATATATCCCTGTAATCATTTCCGCTGGACCCCAATAAGTGTGATGCATTGATAAAATCAGCTCTTCTAGAAGAATCTAAGAATGCAATAAAATACAGGGGTATTCCATTTGAAAAATCTATTATTTTTGCTATTGCGCGTGAAAATGGAACACCCTGTGAATCTGAAACTATTTTCAAATGTGGACTTTTCAGAGCCGTATAACTTTTATTATAATTTATTTAAGGAATAAGTAACAATTAATGATTTAATTTTAAAAATTGAAAGATGAATCTTCTCTATCTAGCAACTGGGTTTTCTTAATCCAGAATAATTTTTCTGCTTCAGCTGCTTCTAATTTCATTTTATGCAGTTCAGTCTGCTGTTGAATGGCGTTTTCTAATTTTGTAAGTCTCAGCTGACTTTCTTTTTCAACTAATGAAATGTTATTATTTTTTGTTTTTCGCGAGTTTTTTTTTTATATATCTGAAAAACAGAAATTCCAGAGACAATATCTAATATATTGTTTTTATTACCTTTACCTGGAACTAATGTTACATTTTCATCATTCCTATTTGGTACGTCGTGCTGAATTTCATAATCCAGATCTACAAAAAAGAAATACCTATACCCATATATTTGAAAAAAAAAACGAATTTTATCAATGATAAATCTGGCAAGATTTTTACCTAATGGAAACTGTTCATGTCTTATTATATCATCTTCTTCCATTTCAATAACAGATCCTGAAACCATTGTTCCAAATAAGTAAGTATATATACCATATTACCATATGGATTATTATAAACTATACCTTCATCCACTGGTACTGGTGCAACTTCAGGAGAAGATGATGATTCCAAATGTTTTCCTATGAGAATAAATATATGTTATTGAAGATTTCATTATTATAGAGGGTGTTCCTCAAAGACTTCTGTATATCAAAAGTTAGGACGTTTCCCAGCCCACAGAAGCACGTCTAAAATGACGTCAATATCTGGTGATTTTTGGTCATAGACATCAGTCGATCAATAATTGACGACATTTTTGCAGTCATTTTTGTCACGCTATTGACTTGAATATATTATTAGCATGTCATTAAGGAACACCCTGTATAATATTATATGATATATTATACAGTGCTAGTCAAAAGTCCCCTCCCCCCCTCGTATCTTTTGAACGGGTATACTTATAATAATGAAATTTGGAGGGTGGAAATAAACTATTGCGTCACCTGTTATGACCAGTTGAGAAGCCTACATCCGTTTATTTCCACCATCCGAATTTCATTATTATAAGTATACCCGTTCAAAAGATACGAGGGGGGGAGGGGACTTTTGACTAGCACAGTATATTATAGCAAAATGATAAATCATTTTCATTTATTGATGTAAAAGAATAACATATTATCTCACTTTGTTCGACATATGCAGCATTGCTATCAAACTTGTTATCTATCATGAAATTAATGGTAGGAACAATTGACCGCACCATTACATTTAGCGGATCATCATCTACTTTTGAAGAAGGACCACCACCTGTTTTCAGCATTTTATTTTTGAATTCCGTATCTGACTTTCTAGTCCTAAAAATGTTCAATTATAGGTGATGAGTATTATTGGGTGAACTATATTCATATTTCCAATATATAATTGGAATGAATATCAGGTTATTACTTTTGTTTCAAATTATCCCATAGTTTTTTTAATTGCTTTGTGGTCCTTCTGGATACATCGTTCGAGTTATAAAATTGAGTAATTTTATTCCAGGCTTCATTTTTCTGTTGGATCTGTATAGCATCGGTTTTTTTATTTTCCAATATATTCTTATATTTCTCCACCAAAGACATAAGCAGAACCTTCTCTCTTACGGAGAATACTTTTCTATCAATATCACTCATCTGTAAATTTGAAAAAATCATCTAGTATCAGTCTTTAAGTCTACAGAATCAAAAATTTCCACTTACCTCGCTTTTTCACTTTCAAATTTGAATTTTTGAAATATTGACACAACACGGCACGAAACAGAAATCGACATAAATCAGCAGAATCTGGTCACAGAACACTAACATTGAACACTGTTGCCAAATGTAAGGATTCCTTACACAAGGAGCACTTGAGGAATGTTTATAAAACAAGTCATTCCTTCAAGTGCTGAGGAATCCTCAGATAAGGAAGCCTTGAGGAAGTCTTGAGGAAACGACTATAAATATGGGCCTCAGAATCAAGGACTAACCTTGTATCATATATCCTG